ACACAGGTGCCAGCAGCGTACCAACGACCGTTGAAAATAATTCAAATTCAAAAAATTCATGCTACTTTGATCGGCGTTGTTGGCGCACAAAGTTCTGCTGTGAGCATGTTGGATAGGAATAACTCTCGTGCTTGTCACATATCAGCACTCGGGGTGCCCGGCCCAAAGTTGCGACCCATACAACAGCAGCAGCGAGGGTGTCAGGGTGCTGTTGCGCGCGGACACATGAAGGGTGCGGACGCCACCGAACAGCACAAATCCACGACCCTGGAAGCCCCTGGCGTTGAAATCACTCTGACACCTACTCCCCTAGTACTGCCTCCATGTCTCCCACCCACCTGCAGCCAAGAGATCCAGCTTCTGGCCCACGGACGGCGTTCAGGACGTTCTCTCCAGCGGACCAAGATGGAGCGGTGCACCCGACAACGGAAGATACCACACCCCCGCACGGAGCTTCACGCCAAAGTTACTACCTCGTAGAGTTGCTCGAATCGCACGATACTCGGAGGGTGTGCTTATTGGGGTGTTAGGTGCCGAAAACACCCTGGTAAAAATTCGGATCAGCACTACAGCGGGAGCTATTGCAAGGTTTCTGTCAAACCCTATGGCTAAGCGTGTTTTGGGGGCGCGCAGATGGGGAGTTTTTTGGTCGGAAAAAACGAAGAAAGCAGCCATACGGGGCCCCCAGCAACGCCTGTGTTGTCAGCAGCGAACCACCCACCGCCAACACTCAAAGGCGCAACAGCACCCAAAGGAGCGAGAGAGGACAATCCTCCACCTCAGCCAAACCTCTGACGCCGGCGGGAAAGCCTGGAGAGTTTCGCGCTCGTGGTGGTGGCTCGACACGCCTCTGATTGCCTTTGGATTCGCCGCTTATCCCGGAACGAACTCAACACACACACACACATCCACGGCGGCAGCAGAGCAGCGGTCTCCAGTGTCGTCCACCTTGAAGGAGAGAGGGAGGCGACGCGTTCGAGCGCCGCGGGGGGCGCTCTCTTCGCCTTTATCGGCGGCAGTCATTGCATGGTGGCAAGGGTTCAGGGGACGCGGTGGAAACGGGAAAACCACTGCTTTCAAGTCCCCGTTACCAACCTTACAGACCCGTCCGCGGCATCAACAGCAGCAGCAACAGCAGCAACAGCAGCAGCAACAGGGCGTAGTAGACGAAGGCTGCCGCTTCCAAGGTTAGACGCGAGCCGCCTGGTGTCTCAACCTTGTTACTTCTGCGTGCGTAGATAGCTGTGTGAGGCCGCGCGCGGGCGTGGTGTTCTGGGTGTACGCGGAGGTCAAGAAGCAGCAGCAGCAGCAGCAAAGCAGCGATAGAGGTAGAGTTTTGTTTTCAGGTCACAGCATCGAGCAGCAAACGAAAGCGCCGGATAACCTTGGTGCCTCTAGTAACCAGCAACCAACGGATCCGAGAGAGAGAGAGAGGACGCGCGCGCTCAAGAGGGAGAGATAACCACAATTGTATACGCCCGCGGGACTCTTTCTTGCACGGTGGGTACCGTGGACGTGGGTGTTACGCGGGTAACAGCGTTTCGCGCTAGCCGGCAAGAGTAAACAAATAACACGAGACCTCAAAACATCAATACACCGAGGAGGATATAGAAATAGCACGAACAGCGCCGACCGCGACAAAAAGAAGAAGCTACTCCGATCGAAAGGGCTGGGAGACGCGCGGCTGCGAGTTGGAGGACATGTCGTCGTTCGGGAGGTTCGGCAATGGCGAAGACCATGCCATGCGAGAGTTTTCCATCTGCATTAAGGTATGGATGGTATCAAGGCAGGGAGTATGACTACAGCAGCAGTGTTCACGGATGCTACCCAAAACAGCCTCGCTTTATTTCTTTACAACTATCGTATCTTTTTATCTTTTTCGGAAGGGTACGTCTCTAGCATGTTGTACAAATGTACCACCCACCTGCTGTTGGCGATGTTGACGCCGTTGGGAACGGTATCGGCCGCTATCTAGCCGTTGTGAGTGATACGCTACAGTTATCTTGTCTGGTTGGGGGTACGATTTTGCAGGGGGCATGCATGACGCCATGCGGGGACTAAGCCAGAGAGAGGTGTACGTTGCTGTCATTGTCACCTGTGCGCAGGCGAAAGTCCATGGTTGTATCCATCCATGCTTGCCATAGTACGATATGCGGCGAGTTAAAGACCATAATACAGGAGGTAGGACACACATTGCTCTACTTCTGTCAGTAACAACAACCAGAGGCGCAGTGCCAGTTGTCGGATTCTTCGCTCATAGGTGTCCATGCTTGCCATAGTACGAGATGCGGCGAGTTAAAGACCAAGTATTGAGAGATTGTAGCTATATACAGGAGGTAGGACACACGTTGCTCTACTCTGCCAGGACACACGGTTCTCTGCTTGTGTCAGTAACAACAACCAGAGGCGCGGTGCCAGTTGTCGGATTCTTCGCTCATAGGTGCGATGTGTCCCCGGCTCGTATTGCTGTATCGAGAGACAAGAAAACACGATGATCTCTTTAGGACGGTGTACGTGGTGTCAAGCAACACCTTGTAGCCACCTTTTGTACACAAGCACACCCCGCTTAGCAGTGTGGTAGGTAAGTCTGTCCACACGGTGTCAATGCCAATCGACTGCTGCCTTTCTAAATCAGTCGTTGCACCCCGCTTGTTTCTGCAGCAGACATGGCGCAGTTGGCTTGTATTCCTTTTTTATCAATAACAAATTAAGCGAGTAAGTCACTCGCGAGTCCAAAGAGGCAGTTGCAGGTCAAGTACTGACGAAGTTTGTTTAAATATTGGTCCCACGTACATGTGCACGAGATAGCAGCGTATTCGTACGAGCCCGTTTTTTGCCGACCTCACCCTCTTTAAAACGTCTTACGTTGTTGTACATGCTTTTCTCTTCGTCTCTTCTGCGACAAAGCGACAAAGGCAGCAACCATCGTTAGGTGCTTCGAAGTCTTGGCGTAATTTCCGGCAGATGTGTACGTGGGCAGTTGATGTTGTCATTTCGTTCTTTATGCTGTCACTCCGTAGTTGTTTTTCTATTTTCTTAATATATACAACGAATCCATCTGTATCAATAGAAAAAGTAAGTTTTGAGAAGGGGTTCCGTGGTTTGGGGGCGGGAAATCCCCTGCTTCCATCGCATCTGTTGAGATACAAAAGGGATCGTTTTTTCACGTCCAAAATTTGCCTCTTGTATGCACATGCATGCTACTCCCGACGAGCATGACGTGGCCTTTGGCTCAGATGGGTCTCCTTTCCTGTCGGGCTTTCTCTGCCCTAAACTGCTTATTTTGGTACTTGCGTTATTTCGTCGTTCGTGTTCACCACCTGTTACTCGGCTCCAAAGTGTGTGCGGGACTCCGAATCTTGACGCTTCGTGTATGGGTTACTTGGTTGCCACGGCCTTGCTTCTGTTGTTTACAGAAACAAGATCTCGGTGTCCTGCTGGGAGATTGGTAGATACATACCGTGAGTTGGTTTTACATTGAATTGATTTCTAATTCATTCTGGACTTACACTTTTGCCTGTGGATAGAGGTGAAGTTCCCTTTGACAGTTTGTTTGCGTAGAAGTAAATAAGAGCACAAACTCATCTCGTGAGGGAGGCGTATGAAAGGGGGGGAGATGGATATTGATGAAATATTGTCATGCCACAGCAGTACTGCGGAGAACACTATTTACCAAAGAGTAGCCCCGGTGGTCTAATGGCACCTTCGTAATCCGCTAGTCGCAGAGGTCGTGAGTTCGAATCCCCATGCGGTGAAAATTTTACGAAATGCCGGTGAAAGCGAAATGTAGCTGACAAGCTCTCGTGAGTACCAAACTTCGACGGTAGCACCGTTGACGAGGCAAAGGGACGACTAGACCCTTCTCGCGATAAAAATGTAATTTCAGCACGCACCGCAGGAGGAAGGTGGGTCATGAAATGAAATAAAGAAAAAAGCCCTGGTGTTTACCCCCTCCTGTGTGACCCTGGACGGTTGTGGTTGTACAAAAATATACACTGAAAAGTGTAGTACTCTAAGTGTAGTACTCTACATACGCGGAAAAGTGTCATACACGTCTCACCACGAAAAGTGGGGGGACTGTCGCCATAATAAATAGGACGAAAACACACATACAATCTTTGTAGCTCTCGAGAAATTGTCGTAAAGACTCTTTCAAGCGGGCACAAAACGTTGACCACCGCTGTGGAGTAGGGGAACTGTCGCCATAATAGGACGAAAACACACACACATTCTTTGCAGCTCTCGAGCAATTGTCGTAAAGACTCTTTCAGGCGGGCACAAGACGTTGACCAGCGCTGCGGAGTACCCGCAGCTACCGTCATTGACGGAATCGAGATGAATCACCACGTCTATTCCGCTGCATTTATTTTCCCCGATCGTCCACTCTGTCTTCCCTCGTGGCCACTATGGCGCCGTCCCTGCTCTCCTCCTGTAAGACCGCCTTCGCGACGATATTATTATTAACATTAATCTAGTCTGGACCGCCTTCGCGCGATTAAAATAAAGTAATGAGGGAATAGAACAGGGAGGGGGGACGCAGACCCTATTCCCCAACCCTAACCTCAACCCTAACCCGTCTTCCCCGGTTGTATGCTTTATCCAACACGTTTTCACCATCCCATATTCCCCGGTTGTATGCTTCATCCAGCACATTTTCATCATACGAAAAACCCTGAGAAGGCTACTGCTTTTAGTATAAAATAAAGAGGGGGGGGGGTCGTGACCCTTACCCTGTCCCCCAGCCGACACCGTAAAACCAAGCTTTATTAATAATTTCCTCGCAAAGGTTGCCGCTGCTTCAATGGTCGTGCACCTTGCTTTGGTTCATACTTGCAAAATTTCGCCGGCGGCTGCTGTCATCGTTATCGTTTATGCGCAGCCTCTGGATGGCAAGATTCACGCCCGGAAGAGGGTGCTGACGGTTAAGTCATGGAGCACTGTCAAGGACCTGAAGGACGTCCTGCAGAGCTTGCTCCACGTGCCCGCGGCTTCACAGGTATGTACATATGTAACGCCTGAATCTCTGTACGAAAGCCTGTTGCGCGAAGAAATGTCTTGGTGCCTGCACGACGTTCACATGGATGAGTTGATTAGTCGTTCGTGATGCAGACTAGACATGTGTTTGTGTCGTAGAAATATTGGAAAGGGTGGCGGGGTTCGAAACGCGGCAACAAGCGAGGTGTGTCGTTTGTGCCTGGTGTGACCAAACATCTTGGCAACGGTTCTCTCCCGCAAACATCGATTCCCCGCGAAGTCGGCATATCTCGTCGTTGCGCTTGGAAGTTCCGTTTCGTAGTGACGCCCGTTTAAGGGAACTCGCAACTCAAAATATCGCCTGCTTACACGACACACACGCCCTACCAATGGACTCCTCTTTGGTACGGCGTCGCCCTTTCTTGTTCCCCGACTGTTGCGAATCCAATTTTTCGCACGCGCCATCATTGTCAAAAGCATCGCCTTCTTTGTCCCCTCGTTTTTTTTTTTTATGACGAATCACAACAACAACAGCGCATCTTTTTCCGAGGCGGAGAGCTCCGCAACCCGCACACCCTCCAAGACTACGGGATCTACAGAGACGGGCAAACGGTGTATTTAGCTTCATCTCCGCAGGATGAGATGGGGAAACCTTACAGCTTGGAGCCGTTCCTCGGAGCCGGGGAGCTCCCACGGTCGCTCTCCAGAGTGCTCGGGCAGGTGCGTATATCTTGCAGCAGCATGAACCGCGCTAACCGGCTAAACACTGAGAAAACGCCAGTCTTTATGTGTGATGATAAGACGTCAGTCTTACGATAAGACGTCAGTCTTACGGTAAGACGTCAGTTTATGATAAGACGTCAGTCTTGCGGCAAGACGTCAGTCTTACGTGTGTAATGATAAGACGCCAGACTGATAAGACGCCAGTCTTTCATGTAGTGACAAAACGTCACTCTTTCGTGTGTGTGTGTGTTATGTGTGCGTACTTTGTCGTTCGTTTGCCAGACTACACCGTTCAGTGTAAGTTTAAGTTTGCCTTCTCGGCCGGGGTCTCCCGCCGCGCCGTACTGCTGCTGTGCCTCTCTTGTTGCGTGTTTTCAGGTGAAGCGAGGTCTCGATCGCGGGTTCAAGCCAGAGCTT